CTCCCGACGGCGCGGCGGCGGCCGAAAGCGAGCGAACGTGCGACGGCTTGATTATTCTATAACGATTTTCTCTTTCTTTTTTTTTTGTTCCGTCGTATACTTTATGAGTGGAGCCGCGGATTGGGCGAGATTATAAGCCGCGCGGCACGGCGCGACGCGACGCGAGTCGTCGTGCCCGTGTGCTCTTTATAAAAACAGACGCGCGCTCGCCCGCGCTCGTCGCGGGGTAGTCGTCGGGCGTCGGCGTGCGTCCGTCTCCCCCGTTCGTCTCTCAACCCCCCCGGAGTGTGCCGCGAGTGCTCAATACAAAATATATAATAGCATTCGTCGATTTGAAAAACATATGTATATAACCAATTGTTTTATTTATGGATTCCGCCGGCGCTTCGCGTCGCGGCGCTCCCCGCTGCCGCTGCCGGAGCGCGGCGCGCGCGTATCCGTCGGCGTTTCTCCGCCTCCGCGCGCGTTCGCGAAAATCGTATATTACATCGATGCGACGACGGATGTACGTGACGACGCCGCGGCCATGCGGCGCGCAAAAGAATAAAACGCATCAGCGCGCGGCACTCTTAATTGCTCCGCCATCTTGCTCGCCGTGGCCGGCTCTCTACTTGGCCCGCCAATTTCTTTTCCGGTTCTCACGCCGCCGACTTGTGTATCGCCGTCGGCTCGAATCCCGCGGTTTCGCGCTTTCCCGCCATTTCTCGCGCCCCCCTCCCCCGCTGCCTTCGTCGTCGCTGATGTTCAATCGCGCGTGCGCGCGCCGCGTTTTTGCGCGCCGCGGAAAATAGTCCGCGGCCACTCGACGCGAACGAGCACCCCCTTCCCCCTTCTTCTCGTCCCCGAGGGGTGGTGCGGAGAGCCGGCGCTACGCTCCACGTCCCCATTTAAAAAAATCAATACTTAATAATTAGCAATTAATACGCCCGCCGAGTGTACGTGTGTGCACGTGTGCCCGCGATTACCTTCTCTCCTCTTCCTCCCCTTGTCGTCCACCTCCGTCGTTCCGCCCCGTCGTTCCGCCCCTCCCCTCGCAGCCTTTAATCACGCCGCGCTCGTTATAATGACACGATCATTATTTCGTTAATTATTCGTATCGACGTTTGTTATTCTCCCCCTTTTTGTCCCGGCGACAGGATGATTTTCGCTGGAACGCCGAATCATGCGGAAGAGAATATATATAGAAAAAGACACCCCAGCGAATTCATTTGTGGATGAAATTAATTATTCGAGAGAATTGTAATATCATTGCCGTTCGGTGATTGACGATGACGTTCTCGATCAAATATGCGTCTTATTTCGTCGGTATTTCGACGTGCTGTAATAATATAATTAGCAACAAAATGTAATAAATTGATTAAACGTCAATATATAAACAATACGAAAAGAACGAATATTATATATATGTATATATGATTATATTATAATGCTCAATTATAATAATGTTTGCGAGGGTAAAAAATAAGAAGTTGCGTTAAATCGGCTTTCTTTTTAACATGAATCAGTAACAAAAAGATAAATTAAGAGAAAGTTAAAAAATATACCTCATTAACTGCAGTTAATTATTTACCCTTTCATAATTTATCTCATTGTGGAATATAGCTATCGCTGTATTGCCCCGTCGTCATGAATTTAGATCCCATTGTAAAATGCACTTCGGTTTATCGGAAATATTTATTACCTTGCCATTTTCGTCACAATCGCGATAAATAACGCGCAGAGAAACAAATGCGGATGAACTAGGAGGAACTTAACCTCTAAAAGTCCCTCTCTGGATTGCTCCGGATTCCGGAATAAAAAAAAATCATGGAAACAGTTGTCAAATTCTTGTCGTTTTCCACATACATGTTTTACCGCAGGAAAAAGGAAAGATCATGTTGAAATATTCGGCAAAAATTAAAAAGTTGCGGTACGCACTTTTTTTTTTGGAGAAGTTATATCGAGATACTTTTATCCCCGGTAAGCGGACCGTTCAGTAGATTGACAGCGAATTTGATCAGGAATGGTAAAAAATCGCTGACAAATCGGCATTGACTGATTCGCATTAAGCTCTCGTTACTCTCGTTTTAATGAGCAAAACATCATGGTTTGGAGCATTCTGACATAACCTGACAGCAGATTGACAGCAGAAGCCGGGCCGAATCCGTCGATGCGGATTCCGCTCCATTTTTGTCAGCAATTCGCGTCAACTGTGTAACGAGCATGCCAAAACCTGCTTGATTTGTCATATTTTGTTGACGCAATTTACTTCATTTCTGCTAAAATTCTGTCAATAGCATTGAATATGTCAGAACCTGTATCACATCCGTAGCCTCTGTCAGCAAAATTTGTAACAGACATTTATGACAGAATTTGCTCTTAACACTTCTGGCTTAACATATCCCGTGAGAAGATGTCGAAGAACGAGATCTGTGGATACATATCACTGTTGTACAGCGTCGCTAACAAGCCTCTGGATCTGTGGTCGAAACATGTTTCCTTTGGTGGCAAAGTTCGTAGAGTGAAGGATGATCTATTACACGGGGATAAAGTAATCGAGATCACTGGGCCTCACGACAACACGATCCCCACGAGTATAACTATTCCTGCCAAAGCACTAGACATCCTGAATATAAAGCTTCCAATTCTCGTATTAGTCATAAAGAATTTAAACTTGCGGTTCAAACTGGAAGTTCAAGTACATACTCTTTAAATTTTATGATAGATATCCACATGTTCTTAATATCTCAATGATTTTCTATCTTTGATATATATATAAAGATAATAGACAAGCAACAATATCGGAGAAGATTCTCCTTTATGACCTACAACGTTGAAAGACTATCAAGTATCAATGCAAGTGTGGCTCGTATTCCGTTGAGATTGGACGACTGTTGGAATTTCTTAGAGATAAATCTTCAGACTCTCTGTCACCAAGTGTATAAGACGGATTACGAGGCTCTGCAAAGAATAACGATCTATCCGAATTGTCATTTAAGAAGAGTGTATCTGCAAGATCGTCATTACAATGATGATGAAACTCATGTCGAGCTGTATCAAGCTTTCTTCGATATGTACATGTTAAAGCGGGGAATCAATTTCATTGAAAAGGCTTGTCAGACGGAAGATTGTTACACAGGTTTTATAAATTCTCGAAAAAATGTGAAATATATACACATATTAGCATATATTTATTTCTTTTTGGCTTTTAGGACCTTTAGAGCAATCTGATTTGAAATGTTTTGATAAAGATAATTCTAATGGTACACCGTTGGCAAAAGTGGATTCATATAAAATCGCAGGCAGCACTGAAAAACTGAAAAGTAATCTATCGAAGAATTTAAATTTATACAATTTTGATATATTAAAAAGGAATCACATGTCACTGGATGCTTTAAATGATGCAATAAAAAAACGGCATATTTTTACAAGACAAAGTGAATGCTTCATAAAATCTTTAGTAAATGATCCAGTTATAGAAAATAAGTTAGAAAAAGATAGTAGTGACATAACGGAAAAAATAAACCAACATTATGCAATGAAAACGCGTAAGGCAGGAAACTCTTTATTAAATATAAAAATTAATAATCATACGTCACGACCTGCATCTTCTATCGAATTAAAAACAATTGCGAAGAGCCAATTTTTGAAAACGCATGTCAGCGAAATATTATTCAAAGATAACGGAATTTCAAAACGTCCACAGAAAATTCAGAACGCAGGAAATACATACATTAACTTAACAAACTGCACGTTAAATAATAACACTAATAAGATACAGACAGAAAAAGATAATTCCACGATAGCAAAATTTAAAGTAGATGCCATGGATTCTTCATCATCTTTTAAACCCGATCTATCTGAAAACATTAAGCTTGATAACATAAATAATAATGTATCTGACATTCCAAGCGATGAATATATTCGTTCTAAGTATAAATATGTAAAAGAGAGTGATAAAAGTATCGCCAATCGTTTAAGATCTCTAGTTGGTATCAAGGAAGACGTTGAAAATTTAAATGAAAATGTGATCATAAACAAATGCATTTCCCTAATCGAGAAAGAGATAAAACTGGACGAAATGACGAAGCATGTATTTAATGATGGATAAAACTTATCAAATTTTATAGCAATAGATTATTCCGTGAACAAAAAAACTTCTTGAAAAATTACAGGATAAAGGACTTATCATATACATAGAATTATCACATAATATGAACTGTATTACATAATATGACTGTATTACAAATATCGAAGAAACTTTGGCCAAGAAAAGTTTATAAACAAAGATGATATACAAATAAATATATCGGTTCGTAATAAATTTAACTGCTTTTTAGCAGATTATTTGAAAAAGTAGAATTTTAGCAAAAATATATAAACAAGAAAATACATATGTACTTTTTTTCCATATACAGTGACAAGCAAAATTACACAATCCTTAATACATAAATTGCATATACATGATCTATATTCTATTAAGTAAAAATTATAACCTTAATGAATATTATATTATTAATTATATTATTTGCAATTGTTTAAGCAGCGTGTAAAGTTAAGACAGCCTTCAATAAATTATTTTTTATTTTGAAAGTAATTCGAACAAATTTTAAAAAAAGTTTCAATTGGACAACTCTTCTTTCTTTTACTAAAAATGCTTGCATTTCCTTCACTAATTATCAACATTTTGCCTTATTTTGAATCGGTAAGAATAATTTAAATTCCGCCGGTAATTCATCCTCTGAATATAATCGATCTGAAAAGTACACTCGCCGTATCCTACAATTAGCATGAATTTGGACCCTCAGTGTCTCCACATAATTCGTTCCATAGGCACGGCGTGTGAAGTCAGCCAAGTTGAACTGTATTTGATTCCATCCGTCGTCCAGTCTCATTGGCATTGTACATATAAATGGTTTCACTCTCGTCGTTGATTGATAATTACTTGCACGAAATCTGCGACGTACATTTTTGTCGTCAATTATCTGCAATGTGTAATTTTTTTTATATCAGGAAAGAGATTGAACATTTAATGAATGAAAGAATTCATAAAATTTCTTCATACATTAAATATTCTTTTAAAACGACACATAACTATACAAGAACAATCGACTCGTAATAAATAGGTTTTGGATTTGTTTAGGATCTCTAAGTTAAATTAAATACTTTCCCCTTAATTTTTCCATAAACTGGTACAACAAGAACCTCACCTGAACCTCAAATGTGAAATACTTCTTTAGATTCTTGATAATCATCACCAGAAAGGGCAACTTTATACCCAAAGTCTTCCTTGGATCTGCAGGGCATGTGATATACGTTGTACTAACGTTGCTACCCAGTATCTCTAGGACAAGACTTTGAATATCATTGTCAGTGATCCTCTTGATATGTCCATTCCTCACTTTCTTGTCCCAGATTTGCAATGGTTTGCTGCCGATACTATATAAAATGGACAGGAAACCACTTTGGAAAGTGTTCTTGAACATTTTCGGATTCCTTCCGGCTCCCGCTGCTCTAAATTTTCTTATGCCAAGACGAGGCTATCTCTTCTCTATTTTCTCGTCAAACCTGTAATATAAATTAATATGATGAATTTGGCCGATTTCTCGGCATTGACCAAATACCGCAGCTAATCTTCTTCCATTTTAAACAAATAAAACTGTGCTAAATAAACCCCGAAATCAAGGCACCATATCACATCGGCATAGAAAAAATCAAGCTACGGGGGAAAACACGTTACGGGTGATGGTTTAGATAATTCATGCTTATACTTGAAATAACAAATTTTCCGTTCTTTGTGCATCGGTCGCTTTATTTTAATCCATCTGAATCCATCGTTTCACGAGTTGTCTTAAAACGAAATATTAGTAGGGACTCTAACCTATAAACGACTGTTTGATCGATACATCGTTCCACAATATTCGTATGAATATATCAACATAAACGGAACCTCAATCTGAGCGCGTCAGATCTCAGAATAGCAAGCTTAAAATTATTAGATGACAAGTATAAATTTAATTTAGATTGCATTTATTATAATTCCTTCGTGTTTTTTAAGGTTATAATAGTTTAAACTAATAACCAAACATTGCAGTTCGCAAGCATGAGCCAAATTACGGTGCGAAGACAGTGGGAGACTTTTCGTGGCGAAACGTTGAACTACGATGTCCCATTTTTCTGTCTCGTCAATAAGGAAGAAATTCTTTATTGTTTTACCTTAGATGAAATATGTTTCAGATATTTTAATTTATACTTTCAGATTAATTTTTTTTACTTAGGATAATTTTGAACCGAAACTTTTTCGTTTTAATTCATATAAAAAATTCTGAGAAAAATTATCCTTTACTTTTTATCTTTTTGTAATTACAGAATTAGAAAAGATACTGTTTATTTTGTTCTAATCCAAAATTTCATTAAAAATTATAGAATGAAAAATTTTAGAAAAAATGTAGACTTTCTCAACAATTCCAAAATTTGTATAAAATATCTAAGAAAAATTTTCTAAAAAGATATAAAATTATTCAAAAATGAAAAACTTCAAAATTTATATAAAAATTCTAAGAAATTATACGAACAATTCTGAAAATATTTTTATCAGTAAGATTTTTTAATTTTATTAGAACGAGAAGATATATCTATGAAATTTTTGCGGCAAGTAGACAAATTAAGAAATGCATATTAAAACCTTAGGTATATCAAATCTCACAAATACTTACCAACTAAACTGACACACACACTTGATAAAGAGTACTTTATTTAAACGAAAGCCTGAAATAATAAGGACAGATAAAATAAAATATTCTTGTATTCGTGTGCCACCTTGTCATGCGTATATTTGAAACGCACAGTAAAAAGGCCATATACATGTACGTGAAACCTTTCTACAATCATTCTCATCAACGTCAAATACAAACTGATGCGGATAGAGGAAAGCAGTAGATTCCTATACGTCGTACAGTTCACTTTCGAAAATGCAATTAAAGCTTCATCAGTACGAATGATCTCCTTGATCGTTAGGATGCATTTACTCAAAGAGCAATCATTCCCTCGATAGATATTGTCGAGGACTCGCATTACGCAATTGCGTTTTATACGTACGTTACAGCAAATCGTTACAAACAAATTGTTTTACTTAAAATGTAAATCTAACATAATCGAACTACATTACGGTATCGTATACGGTACTTTCTCTCGCGCTCGGCACTGCCCTGTAAGACACAATATTCTTAGAATATGATATATAAATATTAAAAAGAGTAAATAATATTCATGTAACATTCTAGGAGTGCGTTTCACTTAACGTTAACAACGTTCGTTTGCATCATTCCATCCTTGTTTAATTCCATTTGATAACAACAAAAGTCAAATGATACTCACGAGCGTTATGAACGTTAAGTGGAACCCTAGGAATATTGTGTGTTTACAAGATGATACCGCCAACTGAAAAATTGCGAGAATATGTATATTTTACAGAAGCTTTATATATAATTAATGTTGTAACATGATGAAACGGCAGCGGTCACTTGATCTTTCTTATACTAACCGAAAGTAAGCAAACGTAGCGGTTGTATGTGTGACGGCATTAAAACAAAATGACGGAACGAAATATGGATTACGCATGAAACTAATATTACGCATTCTTCTTCTTCATGTTCTTCCTGATAGTGTCGACATATTAGTTTGTTTCCTCAACACCTTGCGGAACAAGCTCGACAACGCAATAGATTTCTCAACGCGAACGAGCGAGTTTTTTTTTCCTCTCTTCAAAATGTCGAAGGATTTCGGTTTCCGGTATCTCGGTAAATTGATACGTTATATTCGCTTATCTATTCGTTAATATTAACTATACGGAATTACAGTTCATAACGTGAAATTGTTCTCCCTTTTCTCTTTCTCTTGCAACGTATGCGACGTAAATTATTTAATTCGAATCTTTATCTTGCTTAGCTCTTGAAAAACTATATGTATATAATGGAATCTACCACTGCGTCTTGTAATACTGAATGTCACATGAACAAGAAAGGCCCACTTATAAAAGCGATCGGTATCAGGCAAAACAAAACTCAACTAGAGTCTCGAAGAGTCAATAAATAATTTTTTTCCAGCAAATATCTCAAACAAACCTCCATTTAATGGACAGATCCATCATCGCGAACATTTCTTACAAATTTTCAATGTACCGAGTATCGGGCATTATGAATAAAAATGCACACGACTTTAGTGAACAATAACACAGTTTATTAACCGTTATAGAACGTTTATGTAAACCGCTTGTACTTATTGTTCAGTAAATCGCATATAATACAAGAGCAATGAATAGAAGATAGCAAATCGCTTGATTGAGAACGCCGATACAAAACTCTGTGTCGTTACACCATAAAAGGCAACGTTCAATCAGTTTACATGAAGACGCATAGAACTTAAAATCAAAAAGTAAAAGTTAAATCGTGAATATTCAAAGTTTGTACCGTTTCTCAATGTCTATCTTCATTCATTATTAAGTCTCTTTCACTCTAGTATTCTTACTCGTTTCCCGACAATAATACAAAATTCACCGTTCTTTCAGGATTATTTCTCAGCAAAATTAAAACAATTTCGTAATAGTCCGGACGCAACGGGACAAATTTTGAATTATTGCCTTCTCTTCTTTTTTTTCTCTTTTTTAGATTCATCGAAATTTCCGACGCAACGTATCATTACTGTCTACCTGCGAACGATAGGTGTACGGAAATTTCTATTCCCCTCACTTCTCAATCAGACAAAATTCCCCGTTTCTCTCTTTCTTATCGCAATTTAAAACAACTTTGTAATAGTCTTGACGCAACGGGACAATTTCTTTATTACTATTTCTTTTCCTTCCGTTTTATATTCGCTGAAATTTCCTATACAGCGTATCATTACTTCTTACCCGAATGACAGATGTATGGAAATTTCTGTTTTCCTTCATTTCTCAATATTTTACGATACATGAATATGTAACCCCAGGTTGCTTCTGGCCCCCGTAGGAAAGCAAATTGGGGCATAGGGACAGTGTATATCGCATTACGTATGTTTTACCAATTTAAACGTTAACTACTTAATTTTTCACACGTATCTCTAGCGCACGTAGCCAGAGTTTACTCTGGAAAAATACGTGATTTTATGTATAATTTTCATGCGATTCAATAGAAATAGGTTTTTAAATTGCTTTTTTCTTAAAATAAAGCGATGAAAAAATATACACACAAAATATATAAAATGATCAATTACGAACAACCGAGAATTAAAAAAAAAAAGAAAAACACCATTACAATTATTAATTAGACAAGACATATTTATTCATGATAGTGTGTGGAAGCTAAGATTCAATTGAAAAATTAAGAGATGGTCGCATTTCACATCTCCAGGTCGTGTTACTTTACTTAACATTTTCCTATAGTGTTCATTATATATTATAGATTGATCCTAACTGGAGAATGACCATTTTGAATCATCATAGATAAGTATATTGATATTGTGATCCTGTCAATGAAAATGTGTTACAATAAATACAGTAGTTATACATATTTGTCACTGCTAGGATCGCAATCACGATCAAACACCAATAATACCTTGCGATTCCATAGCATTATTAATTTTGCAAGAGTTGTAATATATGAATCGTTCAATGATACGCTATTGTACGTAATTCATAACAATAGATTGCCGATAGTCACAAAAACTTGTCAGTCTGTTGTGACTAATCAGACGTTTCTAGTCATTAAACGAAATTCTCTCTCTCTCTCTCTCCCTCTCTCACATAATTATTAAATACACATCGCTTATTGGTGCTTGAACGGCATTTCAATGTAATTAGGACACTGCAAAAGCTCAGGAATATTTTTTACATACTAATAACTAATTTAAATAATTTTATATAAGTTGATTCAAATTTAGATTCGATCTGATTTTTCATATTATATTTCAGTAATGTAAATAGTATATAGCAATTCAATAAATAACAAACATAAAATGAAAAAATCTATTTCATGCACAACGTTTTATTTAATTCATTGACGAATTTTTTTCTGAGGTACATATAAATATATTATTACAATTACAAATATAGGCAGATCATTGTGTAGCAACTTTTTTCAATATAAATTATTATATAGGAAAAAAAGATTCACACAATGAGTTTTTTTTAATAGATCAGATTCCTTAAAGGAATCGGATTTAGTAAAAAAAAATGGTTAATACAACCGCGGCTGAGACTCTCTTGATGCAATCGAAGAAAAAAGTCTCTGTCGAGGAATATCATATCTACAAATGAATTGGTAATAAATGAACAATAATTAGCGTTATCAATTTTGTAAAGAACTTTGTAACAATGAAATTCATTTAACTTCCTTTTGCGGTGTCCTGGAGAAGCATAAATATAACTCAACATTATATACGTCTTAAGCGCTACTCAGTTACTTATCGATAGCTCCATCCATAATGTTGTTTTTAACTTGAATGCTAATGTGTATTCCATCACCAGACGCACCTTTGTCCTTCTTCACTTGTGCTGCGTTCGAGGCATTATCAAGTCCCAATTTACTAAGTGTACGAAGCGCCCTTAGAGCCGCTTGATTGCGACTCGCGGTTATTGTTGCTCCATTACCATGACAAACTTGCGGTGGATCAGTGCTTAGCGACACAAGTGATAAATATTCTTTGTTTATAGATACTCCCTGAAATGAGAAATTAATGAGAAATAATGGCTTATAATTTATTTGATGATATGTCAACATCATTTCGTGTTCACACTACGTTCCACCTTAATTAATTAGAATCATTTTAATATTTTTTTAATACTGATCAAACGATCGATTACCTTAGGAAAGTCGCTAAATTCTACGCTGAAATTAAATAACTGAGATAAATAATGCAATTGATCCTTGGGCGAAACACCAGCCGTATTCTGCTGTTGCTGTTCGCGCAACTCTTCAGCGACTATTTGTACGCTGGGTCCATTCCCCAGTTTAGATTCGTGACCTCCGTCCACCAGTAAAAGACCAGGTACTAATTGGCGGCCTATGGTACCTAGAGACGATAAAATTTTAAAATTTATCGAACACAGTTCTATACAAACAGTGATCGACGTTTTTCCTTACCTCCTACCGAGTGAGGTTGAGTGTCGTTCATTTGTTCGTCCTCGAGAAATGTAACTTTTCTAGGCTTTGACTCCGTGTTCTCGCTCTCTCCCGTCTTTATGGACGGTTTCGAGGGTTGCGGCGACGGTTTACTATATCCCAATTGCGCCAAGAGAGCCTCAGCCGCAGCTCTCTTAGCCAATTTTTTGTTAGGTCCGATTCCTTGGGCGGAGTGCTGACCCATTGTCACTTCCATGACAAACTCTCTGCGTCTTGGTGCGCCCTTCTCGTCTATTAGATTGTAAACTGGTTCCCTCTCTCGTTTCGCCTGTTGAATCTGAACTAGCCGGGAAACTGGATTGACCTCCTCCGCGGCTTCGTTCTCCGCACGAGGCTCCTGATAAACTTTGATTAAGTTTCGAGATTTCTTCTTCGTCGCTGGTGGCTTACGTTTTACTCGCATTGATCGGTTCTGTATGGTAGCCGGTAACGGAGGAAGACGCTTCAGTTCGTCTAACATCAACTCGGCGGCGCGTTTCTTCGACACCTAAGGAAACAGGAACGATACAAGCATTTAAAATTGTGTCATTATTTATCATTCTTCTACATGAAAGGTTTGAGAAGTTACTTTTTTCGAGGATCCTTCTCCCACAGTAACCTTCTCGCCGACGGTGCATTTTGTCATGAAAGTTCTTATATGAGGTTTACCGCTTTCGGATACGACTTCAAAACTGACTGGTAGTCCGCGTTTCAGAGCAGTTTCGTGAACAAGAGATACGGGACTTTTCAACTCAGCGTTTGGATCGTCAATGCCACCCAACGTGCCGTTCTCGCTAATGTTACTGGTATTTGCGATCTCTTCCGGTAACGGCAACTGGCGTAATTGTTCCAAGGCTCTGCTAGCAGCATCGTGACGTGCAGCTTGGCCTGTTAAACCTCTACCCGTGAATTCGCGTTCACCCACCTTCAGAGTGACAAGATACAATCCCTGAAGATCCGTATGAACTCCACGATTGTACGTGATACGCGGATTGTACATTCGTGGAAAGTTAGCACTGAATCCATGTGGCATAAATTGATGCTGCAATGCAGCTGGAGGAGCTTGTCGGAACGTATAAACAGTCGGTTCACCTCGTTTCATTGCTAACGCGTTCAGTTCGACGGTGGGAGGCAAATGTCCTGTAATCCAAAAAAGCATATTTAGAGAAATCAAATAGTATTGGAAAGATTTGGAGATTTTATAATTGACAAAAATATAGTTATATACATAACTCGACATTATTTTGTACAATTATAACATTTATAACTACTTACATTGAGAAAGATAACATTCCAAATTGCTGTTGTACTATATTAATGCACTACAATTCAATGCATATAAAATTCATAATAATTACCAGAACCTGTTGGACATTTGCCCAGATGGCCAATTCTCATGGCCTTGGTGGGCTTAGGTGGAGGTTGACGGTACCAAGTTTTCGTCAATGCTTCGGTCGCTGCGCTATGTTGAGCCTTCTTTATACTAGGACCTTCAGCGACATATTCCTCTTCACCCAGTTTTAGTGTCACCGTGAATCTCTTTTTGTGCGCCGGTCCCTGCTCGTTGGTCAGCCTATATTGATGTTGAATCCTATTGAATCTCGCCAACTCGTTTAACAAACACATAGGTGTTTTTTCTTTCATGTTTGCCAAAGCTGGATTAGTCGCGTTGGCATGATTCTGACCAGATGCATTGTCGTCTCTGGACTCTCCATTGGCATCGTTCGTTATCGCCTTCGATTGCTCCACATTTGATTGTTGTACATGCTGCGGCTGTTGCTGCTGTGATTGTGATTGTTGTACCTGCTGCTGCGATGGCTGTTGCTGCTGGGGAGATTGATTCTGCTGATTATTCGGTTGCTGCTGCTGTGGCTGTTGTTGATGTGGATACTGAGGTTGTTGCACATTTTGAAGAGTCACAGAAACTGTATTTGTTTGGTCCTTCATGCTAACGCTAACCATGGTATCTGAAGTAAATATTTCAAATTAATTGTTATATTGACAAGAACAAGAATCTAATTTTTCATTGTGTATCTGTACTTACTGTTTGTATTGTGCGTATTCATACCCATCAACATTGGCTGTCTTGGATTTCCATGCGGCGGGCCAGGATGCTGCATGTGATGCATATGCTGTTGATGGGGGGGCATGGACAGTATTGGTTGATGTGGATTCCGATGAGGTAACAAATGTTGCGGCTGATGTAGCTGGGGCATATTAGCCTGCTGCATAGGCCGCATTGGTCCTGCCATTCTGTATTCATTTTTGCTTGATTACAAGTTTTATCAAATATATTCCTCATGTTTATATTAATTTTCTATAAGATAGCAAATATGTTTCTATTATATATAAATATATTTATCTCTCTCTCTCTTTCTCTATAATTATAAATCTCTTTTATATTAATTTATCATATAAACTATGATGTCTCAGAGAAAGTAAGACGAGAAAGATATTACTTTTAAACAGCAACAACAACAACCATAATCTCACAATTCACTTTAATCTCTTTATAATAATTCTCTGAATTAATAAAGAAACAACTTCAACAAATAATAATTATCTTAATTGTTAATTCTTTGAAAATTTTTCACTCATATGCATATACAGATATTACAGCAATATCATTAAGTCAGTAAACAGAATCGTTAGAAGGTTTCTTTATCAATTTTTAATAGTTTGTACAAATACGAGTAAAATTCTTTACTCCAATTTTACATAAAAAGAGGATTCTTAGAATAAACTAATATTTCTATTGTACTTTTTATTTCATTGTCACAAGAATATAATATAACAGTTGATTAGAGGATATTAACCTGTTATGATCTCGAAGCTGATTTTGCATTGTGTGATGTTGATGACGTAACATCTTATGAAAATCTACTCAGACAAACCTATAAAATGAAAGCACAAATTCAATCCTGTTTTAATATATTTTAGAATATTTTAGATGACAGAATTGCGCGGCGTATATGAACACATTTAAATGGATATTTATACCTGTGCTATGTAATCAATCGATAAGATAATCAAATTTTCAATCATGTTCAAATATATAATACATTTGTCTTTTGTATATTGATAAGCTCTCACATAGCAATCAGCAGACTATAAACTGTTCTTCTGCTGACTTTGCTAATCAGTGAGTGAGAATACAAATAAATATTTCATAATTATCAATAAACAAGCAATAAACAGTTGACAAACTGTACCGCTTGTTGATCTTGTTAATTAACAAAGGAGAATGCAACTCCGAGCTCTCTCAGTTATTCTAAAAAGGTCTACTCCAAGTTTATGCTTAAAAAAAAGAGTTGCTTCAAAATTTACTCCGAAATGTAGTTTCCAGCGTACGCGCGGTATATCCTTTTTTCCGCATTGAGACGCGAATCGCGAGGTATACGATTTATACAGCGAAAGATTCGATCGAGCCTAGAGGACATCGAAGACGATAGAAAGTGATAGCAGGACGATATAACCTTCCTGTAGGGGAAGGGCGAGCCGGTATAACGGGCGGTTTATTACACGGGGGACGCGATCTCGCGGGACGTCGTCGCGGCCGCGCGCAATTTCGTACGCACGATCGCGTGCTCCGGGTTGCGATCGGCGATCTTTTCGTATCTATAAATAAAATCCGTCCCCCGATGGAATGGGCTTGGTCCGGCGACGGCGGCGGCGGCAGCGACGGCTCATCCGAACAATCGGAGCCACGCCGCGCGCGCGGCACGTACACCCTTTTTGCTCACTTTTCCCCGCACTTACCCGGTCACGTTCGCTCTATTTCGCGGAAATTTAGGACGTGTCGCGAAGTACAGTGAAATTTCCGGCGAAATAGACCCACTCCGACGAAAACGAACACCGCCAGGCCCTTAGCACGGCTATTGGCAAACAGTAAAGAAAAGTACTCGGTAGACTAAAATGCGGCCATTTTGATGTGGAGCTAGCGGCAGAGTGTGACGTCATCGATCACATTCTGACCGACGATGGGTACATATAACTTGCGAGAAGGAACAACAGAGATAATGAACGCGATAAAAGAAATCATAAACCTCTTTGTTGATTCCCTTTAAGTCTCTCTCCTTTTGATCGCATGTGAAAAAGGTAAACACTTTCTTTCCTACGACTTTTGCAACCGTTCGAAAAGCTGTTTATATTGCGATCGTGTTGAGAATCGCTTAATTACGCAGAGCGGTTGAAGTTATGTGTATATGTGCGTATTTAAACTGCCTAAAGAAATTTAAATTAATATGTATGCGTGGCATTATTTATCACATTTATGATTTATAAATTAATTATAGAATATTTTTGTAATACAATTGATAAATCTTTATCATCTCTGCATGTGCAATCTAATATAATTGCAAGACCACAAGAATAATATTTATAAAATATAAATATCCCACGTAGCACGTAATATCACGGTAATATCACAGTAACATCATTGAAATGTTCCTGAGATGTCGCAGTAATGTTACGATGTCCACGAAAATAAATCACAGGAATATTACTGACTGTGAGGTATATCGTAGAAATATCGCTGTAATGTTATGTAATATTTCTGTGATATTTATATAGTGTTTATATTTATCTGCCATCTGTCGTTAAGCAAAATGACAAATGCGATTGGCCAATTCCAATGGACTAATCGATCGATTAAGTTAATCGGAATTGATAAAAATGGCCCTGAGTTATTTGAACGAATACGATAATGTTGCAATATTTTTCTCCTTAAAATATTAGAAATACTTAACTAAATAATGATCTATATTCTTTTCCTAAAAACACCTTAATATCTAGAGAACAATAAGTTTTGTGAGTTGCCGGCTTCTATTTCTGTGGCGTATCTTCCAACAAAAAAGTTTCAGAAAATTTTCGAACACGAAAGATCTATCGTGTATGTAATGTAATGTTTTTTTAGAGCAAAAAATTTTTATTTTTTTATCTTCAATTAATTCTCGCTTACATTGCAAAAATGTCACGAACTATTAAAAAATTTGAAAATGAAACACACACACACAATTTGCGTTTATTATTATAAATTACATTTAAAAATCATATGAAATTAAAAAATATTTGGAAAAAGGTTTGAAAATGCTTTTTCCTAATTTCTTGTAACTTTTTGTAACGCAATATCGATAATAAAATGCATTTTTAAAGTGTAAATACAATAAATGTTCAATTTTTACCTACTTATGCGTTACAAAAAAATGTCATTTTCGGGTTATTCGATATCGGGTATAATTAAACTTTTTAGACAGTCCACTATATTTTTTCCTGCTTTGGATACGAAATACACCAAAGTCAGCAGACATATGTATTAGCATGTGTATTTTAATCATGGAAAAGAAATTCTAATTTTGTAAAATTAAAGTGAATGTATTTTTATTAGTCAAACAGACGACGTCAGCATCTCTCAGTAATTGTTTGGTTTTAGGGATGAATAACATTAACATAATAATATAAATAAACATTATTAATTAAAAGAACTCTGTTTTTATAAGAATACGTTGTTTTGACATATATCTTGTATATGTAATGCATATTATTTTATACATATTTTGCATAAAAAATGCATATGTTATAATATAAATATATTATATATCGTAAACAATCTAAATCTTAGTTACTATCTCCTTTTTTTTAGTAATAAATGTCTGCATAATATTCCGATGTTTAATAATTATACATTTAAGAAACTAAAATCGTAATAAAAAAAGTAACAACACTTTTATTATATAATATAATGCTAGCACTTTTTAGGGTCACGGTTTATACGTGTGATTGAAAAAAATCTGAAAATCTGAAATGATTCTAGTTCGAATAAAATTGATGCAGTCAATATCAAGATGTCGAGACCAAATCCCTAACAAGGATCATTTCAGATTTCAGATTTATTCTATCTTGAAGAATTTCATACCTAAGAGGCAATGTACGGCGATAATTTGACCGTTAATGGTGGCTCATTATTCTGAATAAGCCAAATTAATCCATTTTTACCCTTTTGAATTGCCATGACTACAGATTGTGCCACATGCACAGCACTGTAACAAATATATTATGTTCCAGAAAAGATATTAATATAATTTTTATATTATTTTTAGTAATAATATAATAATAATAATAAATAATATTAATGACTATTATCTTTTTTTTATGTAGGATATTTGTATGTGTATGTTTTTAATACTAATAGCAATATTAATAATAAAATAATGAATAAATGTATATAATAAAGAAAAACGGTATTCCTCTCTGTCAAAAATAATAGTATATCCTAATTGTATATAAATTATGGCATACATGGTTGCTTCTAAGATTCATATATATAAATATTTCCATTACGTTTTTTGTACACTTACGATTGAGGATTATGAAAATTTGAATCTGTCTTCTCATTATTAACAATATCTTGATCAATAACATCGAGATATTTGTGCTCATCAAGCGTCATTGCAGTCATTGTGAAACTAGGACATATCGTAAGAATACGAACTCCTGTTTTGTCATAAAATTTCTAAAAAGGATGTTACGTTAGTAAAAGTTTTTATTACTTTGGATTATTGTTAATATAAAGTATTTTAACGGTTTGAATAAATTTATAAAGTTATAAGAAAATAATATAAATAACATATACAAAATTATATTTTTAAAAGAATTTTGAAATATCTTCTGAATAAAATTATTTCGTACGTGTCCGGTATCGAACTTGCATGCAATTATATCAAAACAAGAAAACAGGAACCTTTTTAACAAAATTTGTCGTGTATAAATTAAAAAAAAATAATATATCTCTTAAAACAATAATAAATACGTTTAAAAGATATACTTTTTGATATTTAAATATATATAACAAATATATAAGGCAACTGAAAATATTTTTTTGGATATTCTTTAATCCCCCCCTATAACAAAATTAGAATATTTTAAAAATTTCTTTTATTATCTGTATATATTTCCTATTCTTTCTTTTAAACGATTTAAAAAATACAGCATTTGTAAAAAAAAAGCTTACGGTAATATTATAAAAGATTCCATACTTTACGAAATATAAATTACCTCAAGACAAAGACCAAACCCGACGACAGCATATTTAGAAGAACTATATACCGGACATAAAATGAAAGGGTCAATACCAGCTCTAGACGCTATATTTACTATTGTACCTCCTTTGCCACCTTTATGTTTCCCCATGTAATCCAATCCTAACGTTGAGCCGCGAATTAACGCTATCTATAGAAATAAAATATATAATATTAATTAAGTATACAATTGACGCATTATTTATATATACTTGTAATTAATCAAATTATTAAATATTTATAAAATTATGTATGTCTAATATAAATATACTGACAAACTCTTTATAAGATATATAAAACATATTGAAAACGAGAATTTTCTAGTAATGAAACTTCAAAAAGACCTTAATTGTTATTTCTAAAAGTTTTTGACGTCGCAGAATTCGATTTTGGCCTCTAAAATTCAGATATCAAAAAAATAATCTGATATCGTGAATCTCGGTTTTAAAAGATTTGGTATTGCTGAGTTTGAATGCATTATGAAAATGTTAAATTTTAAAAAGTAGTAATCTATAATATGAAGGGGAATTTAGTGTCACACGAGTCGTAATCATAGAGTTTGGAAATCAGTAGATATTATTTGCGTAGCATTCATGAGGTTCAAATAAAGAGAGACTGAAAATTTAGTGTTACTTTCAATTAATTCCTTAAAATCGAGTTTTATAATAATCACATCATTTTTTAAAATTCTATCCATTATATTGAATTTATCATTTTTAATTTTTTATTTTTGATCCCAGAATCAAATAAAGTATTATCAAATTATCCTACACGTTAAGTTTCATGAAATTCAAACGAGCAATTTATAAAATAAATAAAAGGAAATATGTTTAAGTGAGCTTATTTATCTACAAAGGATTAATATATTTATTTATTTACAATATCGTTTTTCAGAAATCTTACTAAAATAAGTAAATTATTCGATTAACCAGTTAAAGTTTAATGCTTTATTACTCACAACATTAATAGAAAACGTTTGTTCGATGTAACGGTCATGACACATTCCAGCATTGTTAACAAGTATGTCAAGTCCATTGAGTTCTTTGACAATTTGCTTGAAGGTTCCTAAGGATAAAAATAATCGGTTAGTATTTACTTCTCTAATTTATAATGGATATTTCGCATCTAAAAATACTAAATAAACGTCATAATTATTGACAATAAATAGTCCGGTAAAAAATATTTAAGAAATACGGTAATTACCGCCATATACTTCCAAGTTTGTCAGATCAAGCGGAAAAAAGATGACGCGATCTTTCCCAAATTTTTCTTGCAAAGTCATCGTCGCGTTGTAACTACGTTCTATCGGTAAATCGATGATGGCGACTTTCTAAAAATTATTAAGCCAGATAGGAAACACCAATTCCATTCTTTTATTTTTAATTCTAAAGTACCTTCGCGCCTTTATGCAATAAATCTTCGGTAATGTAGTAGCCAATGCCGGACCCGGCACCCGTGACTATCGCCGTTTTATTTTGTACGTTGTCCATTATCTAATGTTATCGCGTCAAAAAGATTAAATATCGAAAGAATCAAACACACAAGATGTCAGAAATAAATGCTTGACGCTTTTATATATCAACAATCTGGTTGGTATGCAGTTAAATTATAAGGAAAATAAATGTTTAAAGTTTATAAATATATAACCACACTTATCACCAAATGTTCTATGATAATTAGAAACTTATATTTAAATGAGTGTTTACGTTCAAGTTTAAGGATTCTGAATTTCAATTATGTTGCACATATTTACGTTTATTAGTAGAAGCGGGCATTCAACAAGAGCAAGAACGCAAATGCGTGGCAAATATATGATAGCATTATATACAGGGTGTATCTAAATAACATACACTAATCAGTGCTATTCCTAATAAAAAACTGAGTCAAAAAGTCTTTTAACATTTTGCAATTTTTGCAATAGTTAAGGTATTAGTTACAAGATATTAATTACTAAAAATCGCTGAATATTGGTTTCCAATAATTTTTTACTCAAATACTATCAACTTTACAGAAAAACTGCTAGAGATAAAAATTGTTTATTTTCTTCTCATAAAGTTATGAGAATTTTTTCAGAATTTTTTAATATCGTATTTTCTCATGTTGGTAAAAATAAGAAAATGCAACACTAAAAAGTTGATAAAAAATTCTGAAAAAATTTCATTTTTCTACTACAATCTATTGTAATTATATTCACTTTTATTTATAATTAGAATAAGTTGTGAAAGGTAGATATATATATTACATCATTTATTATGTATGTATATTATATACATTTATTTTAGCATTCTATGCTTCAGTTTTATTAAAAGAAAAAGAATCTAGAAAAGTGTCATCATTGTTATCGCTAACTCTATTTATTCTCAAGTAATAGTGAATATTATATTATTAATAACTATGTTAGAAATATGTTACCATAAATTTAGAATTTTCAATATTTAATTAGTTTGATTACGAATTTTGCCTACTAAATATTATTTATCTACGTCCAATTCGAAAATATGTTCAACTCGAGAATATGCAAGCGGTAATTGTCAATTGATTTCGATAATTTATCCAAAAAAATAATTAGATCTTTTAACAAATCCGCGGCTTTTTGTAATATAAATACGCGTTGTTTATTACATTTACTGAAATAAATAATTCAATATTTTTATTTTTCGAATTTTCATAATTAGAAGTTTAGATCTATACATTTTCTATTGTACATAGAGAGTAAATAAATTTACTAATAAATAAATTTGATATTTGAACGTAATGTACGTAACTATCGTAAGAAAATTTTTAATGATCTGAGATTTCATGCCGCGCTGCAAAACCACAAAATATATTTTTAGAATTGTGTTTGAATTATGTATTTATTTTTGAATGATGAAAATATCGAAATATATGCCGTATTGGTATTCATGTAACAAGGATAATTCGCCATGAACTGCAGATTTTACACCGAAATCTTCAAATCAGTGTAAATCGGTAATTGTACGGCATAAGCAGGTTGATCGTTTTCGCTGACAAAAACTGCGCCGTTCCCTCCTTTTTCGATCAATTCCACGATAGCAGTTGCCACGTGCTCAGGTCTGTTAAACGGAAAAAAAAACATTATGTATAGATCTATTACATAAATCCTTCTTACGCATTAATCATTTCTTTAATTAATATAATCGAATCGCAACAGAGAAAAAGACGACTTTATTTATTTTTAATATGGTGTACTAGAAGATATGTTTATATATTAATTTATAATTTAATTTATAATTGAATATAATATTTTTATTTGTAATAATCAATTTATGTAAAAATATTAATTTATTACTTTCATATTATTTTAAGATTTAATATTATTTATTTTATTTATTATAATTCTTTGGTACAAAAATAATGTCTTTTGTATGAAATACCTCAACGCTAACTGCAACTTACGATTGACTTTCCATCGTCGTCATCTCCTTGGCAGCGATCTCATCGTCAAGTAAGTCCATCGCGTAGACCTTGCTTGACATGAACTTCGAGGCCAAGCCAGTAGTTGTAAGACCAGGGCATATTAACAATACACGTACGCCTGTTTTCTCGTAAAATGTCTAGAAATATGCAAAAAATATATCATTATAAGAAAGCCCATAATGCTTTAATCATCCTAACATCCAGCATAAAATAACGACAATATTGTTCAAATAATTTGAGATTGAATTACAATTAAAACTGTATTTATTATTTGTTTATAGAAATTTTACCAGTAACGATGAGGTAAATCCGACGACGGCAAAACTTGTTCCAGCGTAAATCGGCGCGATCGGATTGCCTTGCAAGCCGATTATAGAGGACATATTGACGATAGTACCACCTTTTCCTCCCTTATGCTTTCCCATGTGATTCAAGCCCAATATCGTGCCACGTACAACCCCTTTCTGATTGTAAATACGACGAAACGATAAGAGCAACAAATTTAAAATAGGAATAATAAATTAATTCCGATATCGTTACTCACGTAATTAACGTCAACCATTGGCTCCCATTCCGCGTCGTTCATGATACCAGCATTATTGATAACAATGTCTAGTGTTCCGAATGACTCTATTGTTTTTTTGAAACAAGCTGTAAAAATTATAAAAGCATAAAAAATGTTTTTGTTTGTCGCAAGAAAATATTTCATTAAAATTATATAGATAAACTCAATTAGAAATATAATTTCTCTTTCTCCCGAGACATATTATTAGATCATTAGATTAATTAGACAATATTAGGTGAAAATCGACTAAGAAATGTTCAACATAAATAGTAGATTAATTAGATTAATTTGCAATTTGCAAATTAATGGAGTAACTAAATGGAGTACGAATTTTAGATAGAGATTGATTTCTTATAATAGTGATTCTTTATTGTAATAAGAATATTAAATAAAAAACTGCTTGATCGCAGAAATAATAGCATTTGTTTGACAAACAGACGATTAAGACAGGAAATAAAAAGTATAAGTTGCGATAATTGATAACAGGATGACGCTTATTATACTATCTATTCGTATTATATTTTACAATTTTGTATTCTTAATTGCAATTGATACGTTTAGCGTTTGATTAATACAATACCTGTCAATTCTTCAGCATTCGCTACATCTCCAATAAGAAAAATGGCATGATTCGCACCGAATTCCTTCTCCAATTCCGTAATCGCATTTTCACCGTTCGAATCGGGCAAATCTATGATTGCAACGGCCTGCAATTATTAAGACAAAATATAAATGGAAAAAAAGTTTTGTTGGATTATTTGGAATTTCAGTAGATTCAACCAGAAAGATACACAAATCTCAGACACTTATAATTAAATCTATTAAACATTCTAGCTAATCAAGATAATTAAAAATTCTATTATGATAACCAGAATTCTGATTCATATGATCAGAATTCGTTTTGTTTGTATTTTTGTTGACGCAACTAGAACATTTTTTTTTTTGCTTAATTACCTTCGCTCCGCTTCGAAGTAATTCTCGAGCAGTGCAATAACCGATGCCGTTGGCTCCACCGGTGATGAGCGCGGTTTTCCCTTGAATCTCCATCATAAATGTGTTATGTTCAATATACTTTCAAAAGATAACGCAAATTTCGAATCACACTAACGGAGTGATCCCGTCCAGCACCGATTCGCGAATGAATTCGACGGTGTTGCTAACGAGAAGTCATATAAGTTGAAATTCGAGAAGTCGATCGTACATGATAAAATATCGGATGCGGATAGAAATCGGATAACACAAGCTCGTTCTCGAGGTGAACAAGATCGGATTTGCGCATCTAGACGAGAGAAGCATGAAAAAAAGAATCTCTCAGTGTTACGTGAGGGACGTATGAAATGCAATCGAAACCACTAAAAATATTATGAGAGAGGTAATTCATCCATTTCTTAACGCTGATGAGATATTATTATTATTATTATGTGAATAAGATTATGTTAGAAATATAAATAGGATCAAATGTTATAAAATTAATTAAATTATATTTAATTAAAAAAAGAAATATATTCTTTTTTTTTCTTGTTATAATTAAAAATATTTATGATTTGTTATTATTATTTAATTATAAAAATAAGAAATATGTTAAAATTCTTTAATTAATATCGTACAATTCCAACTAAATTATAATTGCTATTTTTTTGCAATTTAAAAACAAATTTGAAGGAAATAGATAGGAACTAGGAAAAGTAATAAATCTTTTAAAAAATAAATTATAAAAGTGTTGTTATGTGAGAGAAAGAGAGGTAAATATCACTGGTCCGTTAATTTTATTAAAAGGCAATGCATTTATTGGCAATATTAGCAACATACATATCGTAACACATAACAAAAACGAAACGCCACTGATCGTTTCATCGATGGAAAGCTACAATAAAGGATTACGCGAACAGGCGATATCATTTAAAAACAAAACTCAACTAGCTAGACATCTAACCGACGTATCAATCGGAGCTTTGCAATCCGATGCAATTTGCATATCAAACAAATTGTCCCGTGTTTCCCTAGTAAGTACCTAATATCGAAAGAACGTGATCGCGTCGAGTGTCGTGCTTGCACTTGACTACAGATTCTAACTCTATCTCTATCGCTATACCGTTTCTAAATATTTTTGTCTCCCTCAAAATATTGTAGAAAAATTATAGACACGATTGGATATATAATTTCATTTGTGGAGTAATTGTCCGACGGATTTCGGTTTAATTGCATTCGCGGTACAGACAACTGATGCATGTAACTCTCGAAACATCGAATTGTCGAACTTCAAAGTGGAAATTGGCATAAAGTCAACTCTCAATTTTTTTATTAAGTTCCTAAAATTGAATAGATTCTAAATATATCCAATATAAAAACTGTGTCTAGTTGTGCTTTACACTTTTACTTACCTTATTATTCCACTTTTGTTGAGTTACATATATATTATTTTATTCTTTTTCTTAGATGTAATTAATAGATTTCCGACAGTTCGTGAATTTTGTGGATTTAGAGTTACTTGCATCGGTCATCATAAAAGTGTGTAATCTTTCTTCCTTCTTTTTTTGTACGCTTCGAGAGCGCGAAAATAAATGCTTATTTCTTTAATAGTTTT